GGAACTGAATGTTTGTGTTTTGTAGATGAACTTCATACCTCAAAATGATAAACAAGGATTTTATACCTCTCCACCAAGATTACCAAAACATACAGCATGCCACAAATTATTACCTTCATGGCAGCAAAATCATTTACCATATTTCATCAGACAGTAATGAGCAACTTTATATCAGAATGAGACCACAGCAAAGCATTCCAAATAAACTGGTAGCTATTTCACCCCATTTAACATGTTCCTGACATCTTTAACTCCATGAAGACTTCTTCAAATGTCGCCCTGCCTTCCAATGCAGCAATGTATTAAGTGGAATTTCTAAGTCCTACCTTTGTAGTGTTAATCTTATCAAATTTGGAGTGATCTCTCTAAACAACCACAAGTTCTACATTTATGAAATTTGGCACACATGTAGTTGGAGCTTCTTTTAGGGTACCTAATAATTTTTTACAGTGACATGTGAAGGTATTTAATTTTTTGTTAACATTTTTTTAATATCAGAATGAAAAGTATTTAATAACTTACATACTTCTGTGTAAAGCAATGTAAAAGAAGCTCAATATCTTCAGAATTTACAGTAAAACATTTATTAAAAATGTCATTATTTTATGATCATAGTTCCTGAGAAGTATATACACTTGAAAAATTAATACTGTGAAAAGAATGCTCATCACCTTCAAGGCAGCAAGCTCTTGTTGTTGTAGTACCGTCTTATTTTTATGCCTTTGATGTATATTAAAAAACAAAATTCATTCTTTAGTCAAAGACCACAGAAAGAGTTTAAGGCATAGCAGTCGCAGAGTCTTACCATAAAAACAGAATTTTAACTTTCATGTCTTAATATTTAGTTTCTAATTTTAATCTTTAATTTTAAATTTTATTATCTAAGGATTTTTAGTTTTAAAAATTTTGACCAGAACTTAATGTATATATTTATGCATTTAAAAAATTTCACGACACAATAAGGATCCTTATTTGAATAATTAGATGATAATTAATTGCAATTCATCAGCTCAGACTGGAGCATTGTACGCCTGATGATGACCCAGTGTAAGGGTTGAAACGTGTTGCGTCCATAAGAGCCTTAATAAAGCAAATATTGATACAGTAGCGTCTTGTTTTTTAAATACAGAATATTGTTGTGTAGATGACATACCTTATATACTTTGTATATTTTATTTATGACACAGAACAGGATGCACACTATTAAGATTAAGGCTAATACTGTCTAACAGCAAGCTTCAAAACATCCTAAGACAATATTACTCAGTAAAGATTAAACATATGCCTGTGCCTTATTTTTTTCATGATCTGTCCCATCAGAGCTGAACTGCTTCATATGGACATATATGCAATATGAGGTTCTCGTGGTGATGAATATGATGATTATGGTTATCACAGGGCATGATGCCTTGTAGCCAGTTACCAACATATCAGAGGAATGTGCTGCTTCCATCTTCAGTACCTTGGTAATGATCTACCAGACTACATGGAGTTACATCCCTGAAGACAGCCATCTTCAAATATACATATGAAAGGTAAAAGGTTCTATGAAGTTTTTCTTTACAAACACATTTAAAAACTAATAGTGAAAATTCAGGAGCTAACATCCATTAACATCCCTTTAATTTATTCACATGTGAGAAAGGTTATTTACAACTTTTGGAGACAATGACTCTCCTTCCTCTAGACCCTTGTTAACTATGTTTGTCTGTAAAGTGGACAAGTTTAAAGTCATGGATGAAAATATTCAAATTCATATTAATAAGTGGAATTAATTTACTAAGATATAACCTCTTTACATGGTATATAAATTGCAAAGTACAGTATTTTAAAAAATATAGTAGAATATGTTATAGTTGTAGCCATGGAAAGCATAAAATGGACAGAATATACCAGCATGCTCAAACCTGACAAAGTAAAAGAAATTTATTCTCATGGCACAGAATATTAAGATTATGATCTTCTACAATGTGACATCATATAGTCTTGTAATATCAAACTACTCAGTATCACATTCCATAAGACCACAAACCTGTAGAAATGTCCTGATATTGTCTGAGCCAATTTTACTATTAGTAATTATCTACCTTCCATACTACAGTAACATCTATTTGAAACAGAACCTGATTTAAATAGAAATCTGTCTTTATCACAGAACTTCTGTGGTCCCAAGAACATAAGTCAAAACTATGTAGAATTACCTCTAACAAATATGACACAATCAGAAACAAAAAACAAAAATTTAACTGAAAATAATCCATATGTGAATAAAAGAGTAAGAAAAGTAGAAATGAAAATGTGTACCACCCAGTAACAATATACATATATAACATGAATTTCTGACTTGTAATTTGGGTCACTGTATCGCTGAGCATATCATCAGAAATTAAAATACACAAAACATGGTTAGAAACCAGTTGTGATGTGTGGATGCGAAACATGGTCCATGGCAAAAAAGGAACAAGTTATGTTAAATACATGGCAGAGAAAAAGGTTTTGATGAAGCTGCCTAGACTGGTAGCTGAGAATCAGAACCAACCAATAACTCAAAGAATTGTATAAAACCCCTGATAAGATAGCAGATATTAAAAGGAGAAGGCCAGAGTATTTCGAACATGTGACTTAGACTAAACAACACTGGATAATAACATTTATAAAAATATGCCATAAGGTAGAAGAGAAGTAAAAAGCCCCAGTCTGAGGTGGCTGGAAGATGCAGCGAATGATTTACAAGAGCTTAGAGTGAAAAGATGAGGTAAATAGCATATAATGGTCAAGAAGTGGTATCCATTGTAAAGAGACCCAGATTCCTACAGGATTTTCAGAGAGCAGTACCAACTACACTACTGTGTGCCCCCATAATTCAACGAATTCTATAAGAAATTTCTTTGACCATTTAGCCTTAATTTAATACTGACAAACTTAAAACAGCAACAACTGTAACAAGAAAAAACTGGCTACAGTTTGTAACAACACAACATAAACCAAGAATACAACTGAATTAATTCCGTGAGAAATGCCTTACATGGCACAGTTCTAACTGCATAGTTGAAACCGTGCAGTTAAAATATCAGGCTAAATCAGAGTTAATTCATTCTGCAAATTTGAACTGAACATTCCACAGACTTCCCCTAGCACATTCAGTTCTAACTGTGCAGTTCTGTTCTACAGTTGGAACTGTGTAAAAAAAAAAACAAGTGTGTAGGAGCCCTTTACACAAACTCTCTAGTTGTCCTTCAATTTTACATTATTTACACAGTGAAATCTCATTACAGCATACTTCAACTGAAAATAACACACACTCCATTAATCCCCAACAAATATCACCAGTTAAAATTAGCACACATTTTATTAATCCCAATGAAAATCACATGCATCAAAGAAAAAAAAAATTCAGTTTTAAGTTACATATTGTATCCTATATATATTCAAATTCCGGCACAATCTACGCCGATGATGTGAATCTACTGGGTGATAATGTAGATACCATAAAGAAAAACACACAAACTTTAATTGATGCAAGTAAAGAGGTTGGTCTAGAAGTAAACACAGAGAAAACTAAGTATATGTTACTGTCTCGTCACCAAAATGCAGGGCAAAATCATGACATAAAGATAAGAAACAGATGTTTTGAAAATGTGGCACAGTTCAGATATTTGGGAACGATAACAGATCGAAACCTGATTCAGGAGGAAATTAAGAGGTGATTGAACTCGAGTAATGCTTGCTATCATTCAGTCCTGAACCTTTTATCTTCTCATCTATTGTCCAAAAACATAAAAATTAGAATATACAAAACTACAGTATAATTTTGCTTGTGGTTCTGTATGGGTGTGAAACTTGGTCTCTGACATTAAGGGAGGAACAGAGACTGAGGGTGTTTGAGAACAGGGCGTTGAGAAGAATATTTGGACCAAAGAGAGATGAAATGACAGGAGGTTGGAGAAAACTACATAATGAGGAGCTTCATAACTTGTACGCTTCTCCAAGTATAATTAGAATGATCAAGTCAAGGAGGATGGGGTGGGCAGGTCATGTAGCATGAATGGGGGAGATGAATGATATTGGTGGGAAAGCCAGAAGGAAAGAGACCACAGGGAAGACCAAGGTGTAGGTGGATGGACAATATTAGAATGGATCTTAGAGAGATAGGCTGGGATGGTATGGATTGGATAGATCTCGCTCAGGATAGGGACCTGTAGAGGGCTCTTGTGAACACAGTAGTGAACCTTCGGGTTCCATAAAATGCTGGGAAATTCTTGAGTAGCTGCAGAATTGGCTTCTCCTCAAGAAGGGCTGTGCTACATAAGTAAGCAAGTAAGTATTGTATCCTATCACAAAAATGGATCTTACAGAAACAGAGTTAGAGGGTGTGGACTAGATTCATCCGGCACAGAACAGAGACTAGCAATGGGTTCCTGTGAATATTGCTATAAACCTTCAGGGCCCACAAAAGGCAGAGACTTTTTTGATTAGCTGAGTGACTATTTTGTCCTAGGAAAGACTCCACATTTGTATCATACATCTTATTGACATTAAGTACAAATCCATATTGTATTTTTTCTTGCATTTGAGTATTTTTAGGAACAAAAATTAAAAAGCAATGAATAATGCAAAATTATACATACATGAACAGAAGTACCAGTTTTTTCCCGGCATATGGTTGCATTCCTTGTCAATGTCACAACATACAGCTGCTAAAACTTTGAAGAAAGAATAGGACTCACATTATGAAACTGAAGTTAACTCATCTAACTAGCAGAAGTCTGAGAGTTAGGATGCGAATTGCATTTGAATCAAAAAATATTACAGCAATACTTTCACATCATAGGTACCATACATACTTACAAGAATAGTGAGTAAATTTTGTAATGTCTTTGGGGGTTCTCTAATTGGTCTATGACAGAAAACAGTGAACAGACGAAACTAAAAAGGCAGTCATATTTTGTACTCCCAACTGTAAAACAAAACTTTTCTTTGGCTTAGTAGAACACTCCATGTTTGTACTCCCTCTGTGCATGCAAATGGAGGAAGCCTTGCTTCCAGCCAAACTACAGGCACTCTCATTAATTTTTACATTGCATTGGTTACAATGAAACCCCCATTTAAGACTTCCTTGGAGAACAATGAATCTAAAACAGTAAAGTGAGGAAAGTCTGAAATGGAGGTAATTTAACAGACATTGCTGACTTGCAATCGTTGAAGGCAGAACATTAAATGAGAAAACATAAAACTGAAGAACGTTAAACAGGAATTCCATTACAGTTACTGTGTTCTGAATAAAGACTGGAAATAAAATTGGATCACTGGGTGACAAAGAAAACACTCTGTGATTCTTATCCTCAAGGTCGGCTTTTGGGGCTTAGCTTCAACATATAATGCAGCTAAATGCTGAAGTTTTACATTTTGTAAAATATTATTTCAGCAGGTAGCACCATTTTTATAAAACAGCTTTCTTAATTTATATAATAAAAGTTATTTTTCTTTCATTTAATTTTAAGTTACTGGTTAGAATTAGAGAACATCAAGGCCCAGAAGCACACAGTAGAAAGAACTACCGTACACATCTTCCATAGCTTGTTCTTTTTTATATCACAAATTATTTCCCTCTATTACTTCACATGCACCTCTTTAATGTTCAGAATATGGTGGAGGAGCCTCATTGCTTGTGTTGGACGACTGTTGAGTATGCAGCTTTTTTGGCTTAATGTTCCTGCTCTTCATGTAACCAACTATCTGGTCTGGAACTTCTGCCAGAACTTCCTTCGCAAGGTAAGCTTTTGCAGCACTCACATTCTGAAGACGCTGGAAGTTTCTGAATGGCACAAACTGAACAATATCACGCTGGGCCTGAACACCATTGAAAACTAGTGGTACTGTATCAGCATCAAGTTCATTCATGGCTGTAAAATCAGCATTACCAACACCAACAATAATGATTGACATTGGGAGAGTAGATGCCCTAATAATTGCCTGCAAGAGACATAAGAACATGTGACTTAAAAATTCAGCAAAGCTATAAGATACCTACAGAACAAATTGTATCTCCATAAACCATATTTAATTAACAAGATTACTATCTTATATTACTACTACTATCTCTTAGAAAAATATGTCAAGCACACAAAAAAAAGTTATGACTGTAGCACATTCCCATAATCCAAGTGGCCAACAGCAAAAGTATCCCATAACTGCTCACATATTATCTGAACGTTGTGCCACTGTAACCCACATAATCATTTATGGTGCTTTCACTACAAAGTGTCACAGACTGCGCCTTTCAGCTCTGCCATGTCTGCCTGCCTATTCATCTCTAACAACTCAGGAACTGCTAAATAAATTTTCATTAATTCTGATATTGGGGTGTTTTACTAACATTTGTTGCCACATTCAAATTTTGATTAAAATCAGTTGATTGTGATACTTTATGTGAAGACCTACAGGCATTTGTGCATGCATCTCAAGCATACTGTGCTAAATATTTATCACAGGGAAAAGTGTCATGAATATAAGCTATAGAGAAAAATGAGACATTTTTATGTTAATTCCACCTTTATGCATAAGTCTTGTGATTTTCAAAGTAATTAAATAAAAGGGAGCAAACATGCCAGAATTATGCTATCCTTATAAATCCTAACTTTTGGGTCTTTACCAACTTTTAAGCAGATACAAAATGGGTTATGTACGCACCTGTTTGGTTCGAGGCATGTCAGTAATAACTCCATCTGTTACGATTAACAGGATGAAATACTGAGATCCATCTTGATACGTTTCAGCAAATTTGGCCACATGGTTAATGACAGGACTAAAGTTGGTTGGCCCATGCAACTGAATTTGTCTGATGCAGGTCCTGTAAGCATCTAGCACACCTGAAATCAAACAACAATCAACACAGTTATGGCGGATTACCGTCTTCTGGGATGCGATGCCATGTTGGTTCCTCTGAAGTCTTGGCATCTTGTATACACCAAGATGTATAACTAAACATACTACAGGTTGGATGACGAAGGGGTCAGAGTTTGAGTCCCAGTAGGGTGAAGAACTTTCTCTTCTCCATGTTGTCCAGACCAGCTCTGGGGTCCACCCAACTCCTATCCAATGGGTACCTGGAGCTCTTTCCCCCAGGGGTAAAGCAGCCAGGGTGTGAAGCTCACCTCTCGTCTTCAGCTATTGTCAAGGTAAGGAAAATGTGGATCTCTACATCCACTCCCCCATATGCTTTAATGGTGTACTGCTTAATTAGTTTAGCACAGGGACAACTTTAGCTTACCTACATATGTGCTTCTCCAGCACTATCTGAAGGTGTTACTTGGCTGATGTACTTGATATAAATAATTGCAGTGTCGCAAGGTTTACAGCCTAAAGGTTTTTTAAGCATTGTTCCTCCATGTCTGACAACCCAAAGATGATGCTGGGCTGGGCTAAAGACTAATCTATCACTTCAAGCCAGCAACTTGCTAGCTAAAATTTAAATTGAATTTATTGCCTCTGGTTGGCTGATTGCACTGGACTCAGCAAGTACAGGCAGATTGCCACACTGGAAAGAACAAAAAATCTGAATCCTAAGGGTGTAACCACTTTCTGGCACATCTAGCAGCTTAGGTCCTTCTCATTACATGACAACTTTCTAAAACTGGTTGCTCAAGTTTTCAGCATCCACCAGGCTTAGTAGTACCACAGCCTTTGTTCAATGGTCCCCAAGAGGAGAACATCGGTAGCCTTTACATACGCTTTGAAAGTATCAAAATGAACATCGACAGATCATGTACGCATGTCAGTGTTTCATTTGAGAGAATCAGTCATGTATGCTCATCATTCCCTGCTGAGGTTGAAAACCTACGTCAATATACTGTCTTTCTCTGTAACTCACAAACTGTATTGTAGTTGTCAGGCCTCTGATCTGTACCTGATATTCCATTGCAGTAAGGATTAGCTGGATGCATGTTCACGAAGAACTCGTGCGATACTCGTCCATCTGGAGGTAAACGTGCACCAAATCCCAGCACAGGAAACAAATGGTCACTGTCATAATCTTGAATTATCTCCCCGACAGCTGTCAGAGCCTGCTCATACTGGTTTGGCATACTGGACGAAAAGAAGTGCAATGAATCAGGAGACTGCGGATCACCATTAGATGCTGCAACGAATCAGACAAAATGCTTTCTTAAAAGGTATTGTAAAAATCAAGTTCTTATATTAATCACTATAGATTGAGTACACTGTTCACATTCTGCTATTCTGAGCCAGTAGTTAAGACCAATTATCATTTACTTTTTTGATGTACATGGTTTTAAGAAGTCAGAATGTAAAAATATCTAAGATACACTAATAACAGGGTAAGAATGAAGTTGAAGGATTCAAGATGAGAAATGCTACAGGCAATCAGTGCTGTCCCTGTGCTCAACTAATTAAGTACTAAGCCATGAAGGCTATGAGGGAGTGGATGCACAGATCCACATTTTCGTGACCTCAGAACTAGTTGGAGGTAAGTGGTCAGCCTCACACCCCTGCCACTTTACCCCCAGGGAAAGAGCACCCAGTGCCCATTGGATAGGAGGCTGGATGGGCCCCAGAGCCAGTCTGGACAACATGGAGGAGAGAAAATTCTTGACCCAACCAGGACTCGAACTCCGACCCCTCAGTCATCCAGCCCATAACCAGTCATACCAACTAAGCTATCCCTGCTCCTGTAGTTATGGTTTACAACACACTTTTATATCTAGAACTGTGAGAAGACTATTTAACATTAAGATAAGCAAAACAATGTTACAATCAGTTGTGTCATATGGATGTGAAATATGATCCATGACTTTCTGAATTAAAATGTGGGACAGCAAAATTTTGGAGGTGTATGGCCCAGTAACTGAGCAAACAAAGAAGCTTGGCTGCTAGACAACCCACATACAAGTAAAGTGGAAGCACTGCAGGATGAAGATGCTTTTTCTATTTCAACACATTTCTTCTGTTACTTACATAAAACACAAAGACACTAAAATACATCATTAGCTACGACACAAGGCACAGGAGGATAGCTACAATCAAAATGTTGTAATTATTCTCTAGATGTGAATTCTATGTCTAGTACAAATGTCTACCAGGGCAAAAGCATTCTACAATACATTAGATATAATTCACAATATGCATTTGAAAGTAGAAATGTTATATCTAATGCAGAAACGTTCCAAACTATGCATAAGATACTACAAAAGGCTATCTTACATGATCAAACATTGCACTTGATCCAGAGAAATTCTACTGAACATCACTGTTGAGCTGGCAGCATTACTGCTTTGTAATCAGAAAGTCTTGGATTCACATCTCACCTACAAACAAACTATTCTGCATTACTGCTTTGTAATCAGGAAGTCTTGGATTCACATCTCACCTACAAACAAACTATTCTGACTTAGGATTTTCATGGTTCTCCTTAGTCTCTACAGGCAAATGTTGGGACAGTACTTAAAATGAGAGTATGATGACTTCTTTCCACAACCTTTCCAATTCATTATTAATTAATTATCCTTTTTATGCGAGGTAATTTGAGCTCCTGACAGCATTATTTAATAAAACAAGACTAAAATAATGAAGTATGCCCTTGTCAATGGAGAAATCAACAGAAGATAACAAAATAGTTCTAAATTTTATAATATAAAACGAATTTCATGGAACAGAGAGATTCCAAAGCAATGCAAAAGAACGATCTATGAAGTATATTTTAAACAAACAGCAACTTATAATGCAAAAATAGGAACCCTTCGAAAGAGATGCAAAAGTAAAGAATGCGAAATCTGTAAGGAGTACCGAGGGGAAAATAAGAAGGGCTAGAATTATAAATTATAAGTTAAAAATCAGTCTCTGCTAACAGAGTTAGAAGGGAAATAATTACAATGGTTTGATCATGTAAAAAGAATGGATAGAACAAAGACTGAGAGGGGTATCAAAATTCAAATATAAAGGAAAGAAACATGCAAGACTTCCCAGAACAAGATGGTTTAACCAGATATTAGAGTTATCAAGAGAAGAAAAAACTGGTAAGAAATTCAGAAGGGAAGGTTCTCAGAAGAGAGAAGAATGTGGGGACTTATCATGAATGTATAAGGGGTATAAGGGGTGGGCCTTGCACCGTGACCAGAGTGATCTATTGTGTCTTGGGACCTATCATCCATCAACCTGTATAATTATGAGGGGCAGACAAGGAGGGGGAGGGGGAGATTTCAGCCTCTTATAAATTCAGGACTCCTAAAAAAAAAAAGTAAAAGTAAAGCTATCCCTGTAACAGGCCGTGAAGGCCCATAGGGTTGTGAGACGCTGAGGGTCTCACATTATCTAGACAATCGGCTCAAAGATGGCGGTAAGATTGTCGGCCTTACGCGCCGGCCGCCCTTTACTCCCCAGGAAAATTATTTAATTCCTGGTACTCATTTCTGTTAGAGGCTGAGTCGACCCCAGGGCCTAGTGTGGCTGGAAGCATTAGGTCAATTGAAAAAAAATCCAATGACCTCATAGGGACTTCAACCCATGACCTTCTGGCTTGTAGCATAGTGCCTCAACTAACTACGCTACTGCGTAGTATAAATAATACTTTTATCAAATACATATAAAAATTTGAAACATGTTAGTTCCAAATCATATTGCCACCTGCTGATTTATCATTTGAAACAAATCGTCAAGCTGTTAAAATCACAAGTGCAATGCTTTCCTATGCAGGGCAAGATGTCTACCACACACACCCTCCATTCCCAACTGTTGTAGAATACTTTACCCTGGCAAAGCAGCATAATACGCTGATAAAAACTACCATCATGCCTGTCAAGAGAAGAAGTACCCTTGTAAGCGACAAGCCATAAAATGATGCAACTTTTCTGGCTGTCAATAAAACTTATGACTCTGGGAGGAAGAAAGAAAATGGTGTTGAAGAGATACAGTTTACACACCTCCATAATATCTGTTTAGGACCTGGAAGCTTTCACATGGATTCAAATAGATAAATCTTCTTAGCCAACCAGCCATGTCAATTCAGAGCAGAAATTCAACATCTCTGTCAAAGGAGGTCCTTCAAACAGTTGACTTCTGCTCCAAATTGACAAGGATTCCAAAATACTAACCTTCTGCTCAGAATTGGCATGACACTTCACCCAAGAAGATATCAAAATGTTTATTGTTTTGCACAAGAATATTATTTTTTGTTGGTATGTCATGCATGACTTCTCACGGCTGGAACATTTAATTTCATAAAGGCATTCTAATATAATAAAACTTTTAAATAAAGTACAAAACTAAGTAACTGTGATTTTGTGGTATATGATCTCATTATATCACAGCTCCTGTTCAAGGAAATGAACACAAGATATACGCATTGTCTCTTGACCTGCACCCCATAAAAAGTATATGAAAAATATTTAAGATAAAGTAAGACTATAAAAGATGACAACAGGAGAGAAACAAATGAAGTAAATGTCTGAGTGGCTTAGTGTATACACAACCATCAGTGTATCAAATATAAGTTCTTGAAAATGTTCACATTTATGCTTTTTGGTAACCACAATATGAAGACAGTCAGTACATCAATCAAACCATTAACTAGCAACTCATTCAAAAATAAATTTAGTCAGTGCATTAATCAAGTCACTAGTCAGAAACTTTGTCAAACAGAATCAACAGAGCCACCATCTGGTGATTTAAGCAGAAATTTGGTGAGTACATCAACTGACTCATCTGCCAGTGACTTACTCTAACAGAAAGTCAGCCCAAAATAAATCAAACTAATAAATATAAAATAAGTCGGTACATACAACCAGCCACAAGATACACAAATTTCAAACATGAAATGAGTGAGTCTTGAGAGCCTTGTGATATTGTCCGAAAGGTATAGCAGAGGATGCTACTAACTACAAGGTTCCACAGTAACATAATTAAAACTGACTCATCTTACCTGTAAAGTCTATAGCTATGGTACAATTAAGCTGCAAGCCTCCCATAATGTAATCCAGAAAGGAGTACACCTTCCTATACTCATAGCGCACAAGGATAATCTCACCAGAATTCTTGTATGATGGCTGCTGCTGAAAGTATTGAAGAAAATGTTTTAAAATTACCTTTGCATCTGTTTTATCACAGTCACAGAATACCTTCCTCTTACACTGAACTCTGTAAATATGTGTAACACTCACTTCAGTTTAAACGCGTCTACAATTGCAAATACCCACTGAGGTGAAATTACTTTAATGCCATTAATGAACATAACACGTGAAACTTTCACTGCAAGGATCTCGTCATGGCCGCATAAAGAAGTCCCATGGACCTCTTCCACATCTCCCTCTACTTGTTATGCTTCCCATCCAGTCTATTTCCCTCTCGTCATCCTGCCCTTCACACAAATTCTGCTAGTGATAAGCACTTTAGGATGGGTGACACAGACAAGAGGGTGCTGGAGGGGAACAACAGGCAGAGAGAGGAAACCCTTGATACCACCATCATCCCACTATCCCTGAAATTCATTCTGTGGTATTGAGCAAAGTGGAATTTCTTCTTGCTTACTACAAACTTACTTGTTGTTTCGTAGGATGTATACATGGATGTACATTGTAGGGGCCTGGTCCTGCGCTCAGTTCATTCAAAGTGACAAAGAATTCTCCAATCAGGCTGTGATTGCCACTGCGGTTCCAGTCATAACACAACACTCTGATGGATCGATCCATGTCTCCACTACACAGCGATCGCACAGGTATAACAAATGGTTTCCAGTTTGGATTTAATGTCCACTTTATCTCTTCTGTTCGATGAACAACATGATACTCACCATCCTCACTGACTTTGTAAAATTCCAGGAAAGGATCAGACCTAGAATCATAAGACATAACATATTTAATGACAATTTGTGCGAACAGCAATATCCTAACAAATTTTAAATGTAAAAAAAAAAAACTCTGTGGCTTGAGCCCGCAAGTGAACTATACCGACTAAGCTATCGCCGCTTGTCGGCATAGTGCCAACTTTAGCAGATAGAGGGTGTCCCGTGATCAGCGCAATGGATCCCCACAGTCATTAATTTTGGTTTTCTAGACCGGAGCCACTATTTCCTTGAAATAGCTCCTCAATTATCCTCATGAGGTTGAGCGGACCCTGTTTCAGACCCATTCCTTCTCAGAAAAACTGGTAGCACCGGGAATCTAACCCAGCACCTCTGGATCTGTAGCCAGGAACTCTTGACCACTAGACCACAGAGGCGGCCTTTAAATGCAAATGCATAAATGATTTATGGCATTAAATAATTTTGGCCTGGAGAACTATAATGGTATTGAAGATTATTATGTTCAGGGATGTGACACCGTCAGGTCTGGCAGATCGTTAACAATGTTTCAGAGGAACCTGCTTCCTCCATCTTCAGGGTGGAGAACAGTGTAAAAAATATTGGCTTTTAAAGGCCCTTTTCCAAAGACCGAATGTATGAGATAAGGTAAAACTTCAACAGGAGCTGACTCAAAGAAGTTATTGCCACATACTTGCCAAACCAGTCCTTGCGATCAAGGTTACGACCGCTGAACTGCAACAGAACTTCATCTCTGCACACTGCCAACTCCTCAGCAACAACTGTCAATTCGCCCTTGTTACAAGGCATTCCCATCAATGGTAGTGTCACCTTTCCCGATGACACAATCTGAGATGGAGAAGTAACAGGAGGGTGAAGACAATAGCATACTTAATTTCATAATTTGTGCTTTTTATCGAACATCATGGCAATAAAATTAAGGAGTATGACATAGGAAGGGCATGCAGAACACATAAGATGACTCTAAATGCATATAAAGTTTTAATTTGAACATATCCAAGAGTTAGATACAAATGTGAGGACCATATTAAAATTAATCACAAAGAATATGAGAGTATAGAAAGGACTGAATTGGCTCAGAATACAGTCCAATAATAGGCTCTTGTGAAAATGGTAATGAACCTATGGGTTCCATACACCGCAGGCAATGTCCTGACCAGCTGAGCAACTATAAGCTTCACAACAAGGGCTCTGTTTCATGGAGTTCATTATATTAAGTTGTGGCAACTCCTGCATCTTTCATATTTTTCCAGTTTGAATAAATGGTCAACTGAAGCGATGAAATTTGAAATGGCTGTTGAAATGTTACATGATACACGTGGATTTACTGAGAACTTTATGCAGTCTATTAACTGAAATATCCACGACCATTCTCAAACCAACACCAGAAATCTTACATGTCCAAGGGTTGTTACACACTGGCCCAGAAAATCCTGCTTCTCTAGACTTGGATCATAAGTATCCACATCATACACCTCAAACTTGATGTGCTGCTGCTCCTCAAATCGGTATAACACATGTACCTGTGAATCAGAAAGACTCATTAGAAAGAAAATCCTATGTGGCAATAGTACCCAAAGGTTTGATAATACCAAAGTCTGGCACTGAATACATTTTCACAAATTTTTTGATGAAAGGTGCAGGTATAACACACTGCAATATATAAAGGCCTGGATACAAGTACATGACATGACATGAGCAACCTGAGCAAGGGAAAATATATTTGTATGCCTAAGACCTTTGAGGGGAAATAAAAGAAACTGTACAATAAAAGCAGTTTAATCCTTTGAAGCATCAAATTCATGTGATGTTTCAAAATTCAGGTTCTACCTCAGGGAAAACATGCTGCATCCCCGTTATAATAGCCAACAAGTTGATCACTGTTTAATCATATGTAAAAAAAAAATGTAAAAGTAAAGCTATCCCTGTAACAGGCCATGGAGGCCCATAGGGTTGTGAGACGTTGAGGGTTCCACATTATCTAGACAATCGGCTCAAAGATGGTGGTAAAGTTGTCAGCCTTACGCGCCGGCCGCGCTTTACTCCCCACGAAAATTATTAAATGCAAAAATTTATTGTGTGTAGAGTTTTTTAATGTTCAATTACTGTTAGTTCCTCGGAACTCTAGCCGTGGTAGAGGGGTCATACCATCTCTCACAGAGCTGGGGGAACAGTCTTATCAGCTTACATCAGTGTGGGTACTACCAGTTTGGAATGTAGCATCTTGGAGTGTGGTCAGGTGCATAGTACATTGTGTTGCTTGTTAGTTGCAATGTTTTCCGCTCAGGGAGTAACTCTGAACATCACCACAGCAAGCGTACAGCTTCGCCTGCTCCACAACAGCGTTTACCATTCCACGCGGCTAAAGTGATGAGGCACTAACTATAGGTGATACATACAGTAGTCATTGTGCCTTTAAGGTTGACATATTTATATTATTCTCTGTCTACTTTTTTTGTAAGCCATTAAGTTTGTAAATACATTAAGAAATTCAGAACAAGATGGTATGGGCATGTTTTAAGAAACAGCAACAAGGAAACCTGAAACAAGGTTTTGAACATGAAAATGGAAGGAAAACGACCAACAGGAAGACTGAAATCAAAATGTGAAAAACTGGATATAAAAGATATCAAGCAGAAGGAAGAAGAGCATTGAATAAAACTGAGGTGGAATTCTGGGAAGAAAGAGGAAGAGACACTTGGTTGTTAGACAACCCATATAGAAGTGTAAGCATTTAATGAAGATGAGAAAGCTAAATCTGTCAAATTTCCTCAGACAGACCTTCCTTGTTTATAATACAAAATTATCCAGGCATCTTTTCCAATATGCCATGCTTAGGACCACAGGAAGCAAAAAAGTTTTGTTTGAGTTGTCTATCTCCAGGAAAACATTTAACCCGCAAATATTATGGCAAGGTAAAGGTAAAGTTGTCCTTGTGCTTAATTCATTAAGCACTATGCCATGAAGACATATGGGGGAGTGGAGGTATAGCTCCTCCTTTGTTGACCTCGGCAGTAGATGGATGTGAGCTGTCAGCTTCACGCCTCTGCCATTAACACAAAATTACTCCTCTGATACAGATTACAGACTTCTAGTACATGATGCCATGAAATTTCGTACATGGGTACCAATGTTTCAGAGGAACCTGCTGCCTCCATCTTCAAGGGCATCACATCTAAGAATACCACATTCTTATTATTCAACACTGTGGGAACCTCAAAACTCATACAAGTTTTACAGTCTTTCACTCCTTACCTTTTTGGTGAAATTGGGGTTAAGTGTGTTATTTATAGTCTCCGTCCGGGCAACCTCCTGCCATTCCATAACCTCAAAGTTCTTGAGATATGTTACACACATGGGGTCTGACTTGGAAAACACATCACAGTCCAGAAGATTCCTACAGCAGATGTGTAAAAATAATGGGAAATAAGGTGCCTCATGTAAGACACTAAGTTTGTGACACTTACATCCGAACTTTTATAGAAAACTTTTTAAAAGGTTCCCTAGAGAAGTGGGTATGTGATTGCCTCATATATTTTTGAGATCTTTGAAAATTAGCTAAAGAAGAGTTATGTGTATTATTAGCCCAATAACACACCAGAATGTAACACATAATTAAATACAGGCTCTGAAGAATATGCTGAATGAATTAAAATTCAAGCGAAACATCTGGGGGTCATGTGCCCAGAATTTCAGTATTTGTGATTTCTATCTTTCAGGGGCTTTGTGAGAACTAATCAATATCTGGAATCTTATTCCAGAAATTATAAAAGCCTTAACTTCATTATGTGTTACATAATTCAAATGTGTCTCAGTGATCAAAGAAACAACCGACAGTGTAAAATCACAGTAAGTACAGTGGTTCATGTTATAATTAACCCTCTATAGCCTGAATATTTAAGAATTCCTACCTCACACAAAATACATTGTTGTCTCCATTCGCATGACCAATTGCTTAATGTTGCTTACAGAAATAATCACAGGAGGCATACAAAACCCGTAAACAGACTCTGAGAGCTAAATACAAAATGATAAAGCAAGCGGCACACACAGAAACAACTATCCTTTACCCTCTACTGCCTGTGTGTCACACAAATGTGACTTTGTATGTGCTGGTTCAGCACGATCCCCGAGGCCTAGTAACACACTCTTTGTAAGTCCCACTAGTAAAAGGTAAAAGCTGTTCCTGTACACTATACTGTGAAGGTGTATGGGGGAGTGGATGTATAGATGCACATTTTCTTGATCTCGGCATTAGCTGGAGGTGAGCCTATCAGTACCACAGTGGGAGGAGCCTGAGAATATCTGCACTCAAGATGGAGGAAGGAACAGAGACTGGAGATACATACTGAGCTCTTTGATTTGTACTCATCACCTAATATTACTGCAGTGCTGAAAATCAAGAAGGATGCAATGTGTCTTATGTATGATAAAAGAGAAAGTGAAACAAAATTTTGGTCATAAAAACCTCATGGGAGCTGTTCACTTGGAAGATCAAGGCACAGATGAAGGGATAATATTAAAATGAAACTTTGAAAGTAGTAAAGTGTTACTATAGTGTTTAAAAAAAGTACATTTTACAAGGATTTACATCTTTAACTAAGTGTAGAATCTACCAACAGGTTATAAATATATGATGGCCTTCATATTACATAATAGTATGACTAAGATGAGATTACAAATAAGTTTTTAAATGTGACAGTTTCTATATCATGTTGCAGTTGACAACTTCAGCACAGAAAATTACTAATTTTTAGTCAAGATGCACTGTGCATTGATATGATTTGTGCTACAAATATTTGAGGGGAAAAAAACGAATGTTATGGCACACCACAGCATTCAGATTAGTCTTCTGGGTTGACACACCCTGTCATCTTGGAGGTGAAAACCAATGTTCTGCAGGAACATACTGCCTCCATCTTCAGGATGGAAGTGACTTTCACACCCACCTTCTGGGGTACATTATATCATGCAATCTAAATGCTTATTGCTGTGAAAACTTTAAAACTTATCCATGGCATGATTTAACACTTTTTACCTGATTTTACTTAGGCACCATCAACATAATTATGTGGATTTCCTCACAGATTCTGTACAGAAACAATCGTTAATATTGTAAAGATCTTCATACCTGCAAGAAATTGTAAGTTCTACCTCAGATGAGGGTTCTGAAGCTGACCCAGGTATGAAACGAGCCATTTTCTAGTGCAGTACTTTACACACCAATTCTGAAAGCAAAATTGTATATCTTGTAACTCAAGCACAACACTATTTTGATTTTGTGTTAACAACCCTCACTGGAATGTCAAAGAATATTCATATGCAGTGTATGCAACAAACCTACATTCAACAAGATGTTCCCAGGCAACGAACCTTCAATGAAGGTTATCCAGTTTCTGGGGTAACGTTGTTACTGCCCAGCAAATAACACGCAATGACTAGTAGAGCAAACGCTATGCAGTCATGGATCATAAGTCAAGGAATTAAAGTGGAAAGCTGTCTCAATTCCTCACAATATCACACATCAGCATAGGTCTACATGGTTATGGGGAATGCCCTTTCTTACCACGAAGTGGCCAGTCTGATAAAAGTGACAATTTGGAATGAAGAACCTCTCATGGGGTTTGAGATGTGTTACTGACAGTAGAGCCATATCTGTTTGTAAGTCTTGCAACTGTTCACTGAGCTCATAGTGCTGCCTCCAAATGCCATTTGCATTAAATGCTATGACTCTGAGTAGTCTGTGAACTCTAGCAGCCATTCTGTTTCGTTAAGTACCACTTTTGTAATGTCCATTATTTTGTCCTTTTCTGACACAGCTTTGTTGAGCTCTGTCACTGCTAGTTGAACTGCGCACCTGTATTGACAGGCCTTTTCTCTGAATTTCCTGTTGTCGCAGATGCTGCTGCGTAGAATGATGCAAGCTTTTCCCATATGTCTGCAGAGCCTGCGGTTGGTGATGTTGTATGTCTTGACGCAGAGCAGCTGCATAGGACTGCTCTGCCTGGAAGATCCCTTGGGAGCTTGTTTTGCTCTGCTCCTTTGCAGTTCTCCTTTCATATGGCTGCACCCTTGATAAGAAGCTGGATCAGGTTTCTTTCCTTCTACTAGGGTCCAATTACAACTTGGCATAGTTTCTCTATTTTCCTTTTCTGGGCATTCCCTATGTAGGTGGCCACCACAGCACCACAAACATCAAGAGCGTTGCTTGCAATTGGCCAAGACAAGGCCAAAGTTCTGGCAGTTGTAGCAATGCATAAGGCCAATCAGCTCTCTATAACTGTACCTTGATCATAATATGGTTAAGGCTATTTAGCTTGAATATCTCTTGAGATTTTATGTTTCTTGTTAAGATAACAAGGACTAGAGGGAGGGGTGCCACATATGCTTGCCCATTGAGTGCTGTTCAAGTGGCTGTCATTTGCCTCATGTTGAAGAAATCGAAGCATATATCCTCAAGGCTGTTGGAAATATCTTCCACTAGTGTTTCTGGGGGAAGATGATGGATTACTGCCTTTTTTCTTCAGGTGTGATTTCATAACTGAATAGTCTGCCATTTCTTCTGTTATGATACAGGTTCCTTCCTTACAATGTACTTCAGAACTCATGCTCTCACTTGACATTGATGCTTATGGTCAGCAACAGTCCTGCTTAGAACACTTCGAAACGGACCGCAAACGAAACATCGTTCCTTTGCTACTGTTTACTGTTGTCTAGTTTGTTTCGCGGTCACTGCCTAGCAACGGGTCTACATGCGACAATATTATGAATGGGTGTGGGGGGGCACTTCAAGGTGATATCCGACAAATTTTGCAACTGTTTATTTGCTTAATTGGTACCTCCAAAAACTAAACAACATGCTGTAACACACTTTCAGCTCCATGCAAAAAAAAAAAATCTAGCTAGGAGATGATTCGAACTTATGTTCATTTACCCTGTAAACCGACATGCTAACACATGAGCTAACTTTCTTTCTTTACGGCTTCTTAGACGTACATAACCAAAATAACACAGTAAAACAATACCTGAAGAACTGGAAGTATATATAATGGAAAATTACACTTACGAGTTCCTCCAGAAATTAACACATGAGCGCACGTGAGGAAAATGCAACGAATACGCCATTCTATAATCATATATTGCAACAACACTACGCCCGAAAACGCCTACGTCATAGGCGGTGATATACGTAATAAAGTCGTGTATTGTCGCAATCAATGCGATATATCGACCACCCACGACTATAAGTGTAATCAGCAGAGAAAACAGTTTCTTGCACCCTAACCCTACAAATAATGGAACGGAGCAGCATCTTTTTTGTTCTTTGGTACCAGCTGAAGTCACCTGATTGGCCAATAAATTTGCAGGTAAAAAATGGCGGAAAGGGAGGTTTTAGTGCGCTTACATGTGTTAATGGTACGTAAATATTTGATTTGGTTTTATCAAACCAATTACAGGTATTTTAATGTATTGGAACAGCCGCTGTAGTTGTAAAATCTTTAGATTTTGTACGCAGTTGTTTATTATTGAGATTATGTGTACTAATTTGGCGTTCAGAACATGTATTGTAATAGTGGCTTCCAGCTGTATTTATGTAAAGGCAGTGCTTGAGGTGTAATGAAAATAGAACCGGGATGGTTTTGTATTGTACATTGCATTTACTGCCAAAGAAGTAACGGGATGCTTTTAAGCCATTTTGAAAGGAACCGGGATGCCATCCCGCCGCATTCCGCCCCACCTCAAGCCGTGTGTAAAGGTGTCCTTCTGATGATGGTCTCTGAAGCCCGAAACATCTAAAGGCATAAACAATTGAAGTAAGAAAAATCTTCACCAGTCACCCTAGACAGAACTGTTTAACTTTTCATGTTATGTAAAAACTTGCATTTGTGACATTCTTGATGTTGTTATGTGTTAGTGACCAGACACGAGATTTGGATTTATTGGATGCTTGTAACCACAACTAATTACAACGCTGTCGTAAATTACCAACTTCAATAAATCACTGCAACAAATATTAGCTCTTCTCAGTCTGTTAAAGTCTTTACTAGTCATTGCTGGGTAGCAGCTGTCTGCATTCTGCCACCTCACAACTGCCTCTCGACTGTTGACTCTCACAAAGAAACGGACCCGAGTAGCCCATAGATATATTGCCATTTCACATTTCTTTTGTGGAGACAGAACTTTTGGAGGGGGCTGGCCCCTCCACATTGCCCTGTCACTCATTTTTCACAACCTGATCAAAGACAAGACTACCCGCTTTATGATCTGGGTTTGCCTGATGGCCTCATTGACAGTTTTCTCACTACCCAGAAATAACTAATGTTTTATGCAGGGAACCAGGATAGTGTAGTCAGTGTAGCGACTGGTTCTGAGCTGGACGACCGACTGGTTGGAGTTCGAATCCGGGTAGGGTCAAGAATTCTCTCCATGTCATCCAGAGTGGCCCTGGGGTCCACCCAGCCTCCTATCCAATGGACACTTGGGGCTCTCCCTTGGGATAAAGCAGCCAGGGCATGAAGCTGACCACTCACCTCCAACTAGTGCCGAGGTCAAAAAAAATGTGGATCTTACATCCACTCCCCCATACACCTTCATGGTGCAGTGCTTAGTTAAGCAGAGGGACAGCTTTACCTGTCCACTGCTAATTGATGTTTTACATTTCATTTTCTTATGCCATCAGTGAATGCCTTGCCTGTTCCCCTACAGTTGTGGCTCTCATGTAATCAAGAAAGGCAGTGTGGGTCAGCTGTTGGATATCAGTGGCAAAGTCTTGCAAGGACTGGCCAGTGGGCTGAGTCCTTGTCCCAAAGCGGTCATTGAGTGTTTTGATGGTCTCTTCATGCATTGCACCTTTATGTACTTAATATAGAAATTGGAAGTCAGGTTCTGCAGGGCAGCAAGCACGTGTGGCTTTTACACATGGTGCACCTTCACAGTGCCCTGCCACTGTCTGTCTCTTCATCACCCTCCACTGCTTCTTAAGGAGGACATTAGTTGACTAGATACAGAAATATTATACCTTTAGGAGAATCTATACCATGTGTTAAATTTTGTGTAATCCTGTAATACCATAGAAGTGATCTTGTAAGTGTTTATGACAGTAGTCTGTTATTACTAGGGACCGGATTTTAATGCAAATGCATATTTCTTTCTTGCAACCAGAAAATGCTCGTTTGGATATATGTATGAATTACTTCATTTCTTAAATTTTGGACATGGTTTGATGGTGCATATAAATGCATATTTTGCCTGTTTTATGGATAAGAATCATATTTTTGAAGATCTCTATTTATACTGCATATTTCCTTTTTAAAATGTTCATCATATATATGTTTTAATTTTATGATCAAATTTTCAATCATGGTCATGTGTATACAATTTTTCTCTTCCGTATTAGAATATGTTGCATATTTGACTCAACATTTCGTCATGATTCATGTTTCTGATGCAGTACCCAGGATGGGACTTCCCCGATCCCTCTACTCGTAACTTGCCTCATCTGCGTACCATCAAAGTGGCCACGAAGAGATTAGTCGGAAGCGTTCACATGTAGCCGCTATCAACGTAATACTACTCAACTGATAGCGGACTTCACTTATTTACTTCCGAAGTCTCCATGAGGTTCGTTATGCTTCTTCATTTGAAGCTGGGGTCATTCACATTAGTGGTGACTAGTCTGTAGTTAAGTTTGTTTAGCTTTCTGTAATCATGCCAAAAGTGAAAGTCAGAAAACTAAATTACAGCTGTATCAGTAGGAGTTCGAAGGAGAGACGATAAGTATGGATAACAAAATTCTTTATTGCCAAGCATGTGAGAAACCATTTGGTTGTGAAAAACGCTTTCAAGTTCTGCAGCATTTGGACACTAATGTACACAAAGAGACTATTAAAATTAAATCCACGAAAAATGCTCCTGTTTAAAAATTGCTTAGCGAATTGTCTAATAATAGTTTTTCAGTTTTCCTTTGATTTATGCGAAGCCCTTTTAGCGGCACATATTCCACTATGGGAACTAACCAATCCTACTCTGAGAAACGTCATAGAGACTTATACACGGTGCAAAGTGCCAGATGAATCTACTATGCGCAAAAATTACGTGAAGCAGTGTTACGATCTTACAATTGAAAGCATTAGAGATAAGATTCAAGATAATTTTGTGTGGGTATCAATCGACGAAACACCAGATTGTGAGGGACGGTTTATTGCAAATTGTATAGTTGGATCCCTTAATAAGAATGAGCAATCTACCCCATATCTTCTTGCGGTAGAGTAATTTGAAACCACAAATAGCTTCGCAGTTTCCAAATTTTTTTTTTATCAATTCCATGAATTTACTGTGGCCGAATGGCATTCAGTATGAGCGCATATTGCTCTTTGTGACTGATGCCGCAAGTTATATGATGAAAGTCAGTACTGCTTTTAAAGTTATATTTCCAAATATGACACATTTGACTTGCCTTGCCCATGGGTTGCACCGTGTTGCAGAAACAATTCATGCAAATTTTCCGCTTTTTGACAAGTTGGTGTCTCCTGTGAAGAAGGTATTTGTTAAAGCGCCATACAGAAACGAAGCCTTTAAAGCAGTAGCACCGAGCGTTCCACTTCCGCCAGAACCGATTTTAATGTGCTGGGACACATGGCTGTGGGCAGTGAGTTGTTATACCAAACATTTAGAAACAGTTAGGAATGTCGTGAACACATTTGATCCCAAAAGTGCAGCATCAATTCAAACTGCCCAAGATGTACTAAAAAACGCAGATCTAGAAACTAATCTTTCCTATATATCTGCTCACTTCTCTCATCTGCCATCCATTTCTTCACTGGAGGCAAGCAATAGCATTACTACTTTGTATCAGTCGTTAAGTGTGTTCAAAACCCCTGTTTCCAATGTTATATTTTAGCATCCTGTTGCACTGATTCACGTTCATGATGTGTATTTACTCGTATATCAACCGTCTTAGAGTGCATTGTAGAAAGCAAACAATCACAAGAGTAGGATGCAACACAGCACACAATATATACAAGAATATAGGAAGAGCACTCCCATAGGAGAGGATCGACATAACACACGAATTTGAAGTGCGACGTATAGATGATAAATCTTGAAAAGTTTTAATATATAAACTTTATTATCATGACATATACACATTTTAATCATTTTATAAAGGAGATATGATGGTATACAGTGCACTGGTTTGACGTAAACAGAACCACACCTGAAGATGGCACATTATTGCCAAAACATGTAGTGAGGAGAAAAGTGAAATTGTGTGCACTGTAAGACGGCTGATATAAATGCACATCATGAACACTGTTTCCAAATTGAATTCGGTTCCTGGAAGAGTTGGTGAAGTAGTAAAGGAAAAAGTACACATCATTCTTTCAAAAAAATCCAGGATATGAACAAATTTGTAAAATTGAAGAAATTTTAGCCGGTAAACGTACTGAACTGCCAAGTAAAAAATCACTAACAGTGGAGCAAATAGCAGCTTTTGTACATGCACCCATAAGTTCGTGTGAGGTGGAAAGAAGTTTATCCCACTATAAGGACATCTTACGAGACAATAGGAGGCGACTAACTATGGGAAACCTAAAACATTTAGTAATTGTGAACTGCAACAGAAGAGAAGTTGAAAGTTCGGAGAGCTAAATGTGAGTACCATTGGTTTTTAAATTTGTAATGAAATATGTTGGCTTTGTTGCATGATTTGTATTTAAGTATAGCTTTTCATTGCAAGCAAATCATTCAGTGATTACATAAAATTAACTTAAATATTGATTTGTTGGTCTTAAAATAATGTAAAATCAATTTTAATATTTGGTATAAATTTTTATTTGCATATTTTAGTGTATATTTCGGAAGTTTTTCATGCATAAATGCATAAATACATATATAAGGGATTATTAGGGCATAAAAATCCGGTCCCTAGTTATTACAATATTACTTTGAATATAAGACGCACTCAAATTTAAGATGCATCCAGTTTTTAATGTGGGTTTTAGGAACAGAAGGTGCACATCCCTCGCATTTTAGATGCACCTCAGTTTTTCAACAGGAAAAATGTGTAAAATGTGTGCCTTATAATTGAAGTAATACAGTAATTATAAAATAATTATGTTGGACATTGTCTTAAACATGATAGAGGTAGAGTATATACACTGCCTAGAATTTCTGTCATTGCCCAGTGACACACTAGATCCATCTAAAGAGACTGGCTGAGTAGGATTCTTTTCCCCTTTTGCACCTGATGACAGAATCAAATCCATTTTCCAAAATCTAGTATTATTTAAAATTCAACTAAGGTCACGGAAAATGTTGATAATAATTTTATAATTAAATGTTAAGATGTTATGGGTTTACTGACTTTCTATTCTCTTGTAAGAAATCTAACTTTTAGTTCCATAGTGCATTATACCAAATTTATTTTTGTACAGTTATTTACCCATAAGGAATGGCTTTATATTAAAATTGCACAGTACTGGTTGAGTTCAGCTGATCCAATGTAAGAAAACAAAATGTCGCTAGGAAGGCACACTGGGTGATCAAAAAGCACCCAGAAGTGTGGCATATTCGGGAGTCAGTGTTCTATTCTGCAATTGAAGTAAAAGTAAAGCTATCCCTGTAACAGGCCATGGAGGCCCATAGGGTTGTGAGACGTCGAGGGTCCCACATTAGCTAGACAATCGGCTCACAGATGGCGGTAAGGTTGTCAGCCTTACGCGCCAGCCATGCTCTTCTCCCCAGGACAATTATTTAATTAATTCCTGGTACTCATTTCTGTTAGAGGCTGAGTCGACCCCAGGGCCATAGTGTGGCTGGAAGGATTAGGTCAATTGAAAAAATCCATTGACCTCATTGGGATTTGAACCTGTGAACTTCCAGCTTGTAGCATAGTGCCTCAACCAACTATGCTACCGTGTGCCCACATTCTGCAGTTGAGCCATTCCTAAATGAAATGGCCTCAATGATGAATATATTAGATGCTAATCCCTCTTTACTGGACATCACAGACATGTGGATAGTACTTGTGTTCTGCAGTCTGGAGGTCCATGGCTCAAATCATGACTCAAGAGACTCTCTATCATGTTAGATATTTTTCCTGAGTTACATCTGGCAGATGGGGGGCACGCGGTAGCATAGTTTTGTGTGAGCATAAACAATGATCCAAGGCCAGGAAGGCCAAAAACATCAACAGATGAACAAAGTGTGATACTTTTGTCAGATGCTCTTGAAGAAGATCATCGTGCAACATGTGAGGAACTTTCTGAAACCACGGGGATTCCACCAAAGTCAGTATTCCGAATTCTGACAAAAGATTTAAAGAACAGAAAGATTTCTGCGCGATGGGTCCCTCACTGCTTGACTGCTGAACAGAAGCAGAAACGCCTCGACATTGCAACCTTGCTGAAACAAAGATTTGACATTGAAGGTCAAGCATTCTTGTATCGACTTGTTGCTATTGGTGAAACGTGGGTTAGAGACTTTGAACCGGAGCTGAAATCACAGTCCAACGAGTGGAGAGGTCCATCTTCCCCATGACCAAAAATAATTTCAACAATCTCAGTCAAAGGTCAAACAAATGATGATCTTTGCTTATGATCACCAAGGAATCATCATGACAGACAGAGTTCCGTGGGGGAAAAGTGTCACAGCAGTTTATTATCATGACTTTGCGCAAAATCTGTGCAGAAAAATGCACAGAAACCGACCTCAGTTGCTCGAGGCTGGGCTGATCATTCTCCATGACATCGCTCGCCCGCACATCGGAAATGTCATAACAGACTTTCTGGACCGCCTGAATGAAACATTATGTGAATCTTTATTGTGCCCTAGAACAGTCAGTTTGCCAGTGTTTATAATGGTGGGTGCTTTTTTTGTAGTCTGCTACGAGATCCAGAGAGCCCAGACCCCTGTCCAGTCTTCATGGCAGCCAACCACAGCCAATGACCAGTGGGTTCATTACTAACCCATTACCACCTACGAAGCCTGTTTCTCTTAGGCTGTCTCACAGGAGCAGCATAAACATGCTATCGCTCTTCACTGGAGACCCTGGCAGAAGACTGAAATGTAAGTTGAGTTTGAGAGGAACATGATCAGTGAATGCAATCAATCACAGAACACTTCAATTCATATATCTTTGTCTCTTTGCAGCTCTTGTGAGCAGATGACCTAGTCCCATGAATTCAGTGTCGGCTGCTGCCTCATCCAGAGGGGACTCTCCAAGGCCTGATGAGAGGGTCCGCATTCTGACTCCTGTGCCTGACAGAAACCTAGGCGAAGGCTCAAGTGGCAGTGGCGAGGTTGCCTTTGGGCGGGACCATTTTGCAGAGGTGAGTTGAGACTTCTGTTTATGTCTTGTTCCAGTTACATGAGGGACAGAATGTCATTAGTCTCCCAGCAGAGAATTGTTTTGCTCTCATACATCCAGAGGAACCCCCATTTAATGATCTTCGATTTAACATTTTCCCCTAGTTAACACTGAATTTTGATGATCACAAGTCAATAATCTTAGGGCTAGATTTCCTTTGTTCAGTATTTTCTTCATTTTATTCCTCATTTATGCTTTCTTTTCACTGTGTCCTATTTTTTATTTTCAACTGTATAGTTTTTATAAGCATTTATACTAGTAATCACTTTAGTTATTTTAAAGCGGCCTCCGTAGTCTAGAGGTAACGTTCCCACCTCATGACTCGTAGTACTCGGGTTCAAATACCCGGCGGAGGTCGTCCAATTTTTACGGGCGGAAAAATTCAGGGAACAAGTCCTCCGGGAGGGACTTTAAGCCGTGGGTCCCATGTCGTAGCTTTACGGCACGTAAAAGAACCTCATATCTCCAAAGGAGGTCACTGAGCCAAATTACGGACATATCCCGCCCAACAGCAGTCTCTAATACCTCTGGTAGATGAGGGAAGCATTATAGATACCTCTCAGCTAGTAGAGCCAGTCTCGCTGGCTGGGCGGGACTGATGGTAAGCACCAGTACCGGTAGGATCTAGAGACTGGTAGAAATCATAGAGGGAAGCACAATGGACCAATACAGGTCTAAGTGCATGGGGAAACCCACCCTCTCCAATAACTAACTAACTAACTAACTAACTAGTTATTTTAAGATGTAGTAGGGAGCACCAGTATTACAGTACGGTACAGTACTGGTCTCCATTATAGTTTGAGTTGCGTACACTGTGCGATGGCTCTGTTGGAATGCTTGTATATTGCTAAATAAATCTGTAAACTAGAGACAGGCTTGTCTTTATTATTTTATTTCTGATTTACTTAATGATGCTATCAGTAGCCTTGATTGTATAGCATTGAAAGGTAGGACGGGCGAACAGTTAACTGAAAAGGATGGGGGAGGGTGCAGTTGTGCTCTTACTTTGAGGTACTGCCACGGGAAGTATCAGATGCAGACAGAGTTCTGTGTCAGCCAATGAAGTTTCATATGCCTGCTATTTCCACTTACTTCATTAGCACTAATGCCAATCCCTACACAGTGCACCCAGAGAGTTCACTTCATGAGCGCCATTTTTGTGGTTAAATAGCGAAGGATCTTTGAGACAGTCTCTCTACTCTATTTGTGATATTGCTAAGATGACTAATTCATAGAGGAAAGTAGAGGCAGCAGGTTCCTATGAAATGTTCTTAACCTACCAGCATACATTATCTACTCGTAGAACCCGGAAGATCACATTCTGAATGTTTGCTCCTCTGATAACCTCAGGTTTCACTCATAAAAATGTTCACACAAACATTACACAATTTTTCTAAGAAATAAATACTTATGATACATATACTTTTGCAGCAATGAACCATTTGCACATTGCTGTCTTGCTGGGTGTGACACCATGTTGTAATGTGGCTGGTGGGTACCAGTCTCTTGAATCCTCATGGTGGAAACGGCTTCACCATCCATAACAGGAATTTCTTTTCCAGCCACATACAGTAAGTACTAACTGAGGTGGGCTTCCATTGACATTTACATGTTTATGTGGGTCATCTAACAATGACGCCTCTCCGTCCGTCTACCTGGACTGAAAATGCTTTCATAAGTCATGGAATTTCATAGCCTACAACATATGCATTCTGACATGACTACAGTGCGCATGTTAATAACGTTCAGCATAAGGAGATCTGCTGTGAGGTCTAATTACACTACACTGCTCTGACACTCACACGGTACGGTCTTGTGCCCATGACAGCAGCCCACTGTTGCCTTATCCTTGCATACTCTCTGAGGTTGGAACTGTTTTTCATTCTTAACACTCTGCCTTCCTTCACACTTTACAGAAGAAAATCAGATGCCTGACGTTTTAACCAGAAGCATGCCTATGGGGACTTGTTGAAGAGAAATTGTAAGCTTGGGCTTTGGGTCTTGTTTCAGTAACGAACTGTACTGTACAACGAGGTTGGCAGCCCTGAAGTGATGGGCAACACAGTGGTGAACGATGAAGTTAATATGTTAATGTTAATATGTACATACTGACAGCCTTCATGACCTGTCATTTCCAGTGTGATCTTGGTCTGCGTCTTGGGAATTTTTATTTAGTTTGGGATTCGCTCTTGTGTTCGTTATTAAAATGTGCTCATATTTTTTTATTCTGTATGTGTTCTGATGTATGCCAGTTATTTGAATGCTGTCAGTATCGTCAGTATGGATATCTGCCTCCGATGTGTCCAACATTGTCACAGTATTTGGGTGGTTGATTTGAAAGACATCCATTTGCTCCAGAGCCCCAATAACCTTACTTTCAGGGTTCCTCCTTGTGTCTTCTTACCTTCCATGGTGCTACTGTGTTTCACCTTGCCTGATTGTACCCCCTCCCAGAGCATGGTTGCTGGGGTCAGACTTTGGAGCAGGCACAGAAATTCAGAAGGAAAGAGAAAAGACTGGACACTTTCTGCCTGTGGAACTGATACTAGAAGCAGAACTTGTGTTGCAAGTTTTCTTCCTGGTTTGTTGTGACCGATCCATCCTGTTTTGTGTTCCAGCACAGCAGCAAAACAAGCAACAAGAAGAGGGCATGGCGGTCACTGAAGCAGATTGTTGCTCAGGAGAGGGCGTTGCAGTGGGGAGAAGATTTTGTGCACTGTAAGAGAACAAATTCATTGAGGAGCATTGTGAGAAGTGTTCACAATACAGGAGATGTGAGGTTATCACAGCAGTGACTACAAACATTACTGTCTTCTGGGGAGTAACGCTATGTCATCTGATAGCTCATTATCAACATTTCGGAGGAACATGCTTGCTCCATGTTCAGGATAGAAGAGTGAGCTGAACATGGAAATTTGGTATGGATACAGAGAAGGGGGGGGGGGCGAGTGGGACACAGGTACTGATCAAACCAGTAGGTCTGAAGAGAACAGTGTAAAGGGCATTGGCCCTTGAAATAGTCCTCTCTCTTGGGATTGAGCACAAGAGGAGCCACTCTGGAGGTGGAGGAGGAGATGAGATGATAATATTAAAATAGACTGTATTGAAGAATAGCAGGTGGCTGGAACTGCTTCAAGATTATGTTCAGTGCTGTCAAGTATTGAGCCTTTGGGTTCCAATATAAGTGAGCTAATTAACTTCATGGAGCTGAGCCCTTCTTGAGAAGCTGCCAGTGACGGTGTTGTCAAGCTTCAATACTTCTTATTAAAATCCGCACTTCTTTCAGTCATTCTTCACAGATTACAATTTTGCTTCAGTAATACAGTTCTATATTCATGAAAATTCTTGAAAGGATCATTTCAAAAGTATTTTTATTGAAAGTTTTACAGACTTTAAATGTAAAAAAGCCTTTTACATTATTTCATTTTTGATCTCTAGGCCTGAGATAAAAGTCTCAGCCTCTTTAAAAGACACAGTTTTCATGATCAGTGTTTTAAAGGTTTCTGCAATTAAAAGAGCAAAGTTAGCATAATGTTAGTGACAAGAACTGCCTCGAATCAAGTTTCCTGCCCATTTATTTAAATTTCGAGCTGTGTGCCAGAGTGCTGGAGCTCTTTACTTTTGGGACTACATCCATACGTGTTTCTGACTCTGATATTTTATGTTCAGGGGTTGTAACAATGAAGTTATGAACAAGCATGACAGTTATTTTTATCAGTTACATGTGATTTGTTAATATAGGGAATATTATTTGTTTCAGAAAATTCAAACCATCGAATGTCGCTCCAATTTATTTGGAACCTCATCAAGAGAAGACTAATGTCAGATAGCAGAAGGTAACAGCATTTAGAAGATTCTTGGATCCCACATTGCCATCTGTGACCCAGAGATCTTAATTTGAGGATAGGACATTATTTTATGGCTTTACCATCTTGCCTGTGCCAATTCGTTATAAGAAACTGTAAAGAACTGTTCTTCTTAAGATGCCAAAACTTTGTGCTGATTTCTGCTCTCCGTGATGTGTGACAATAAAAGGGGAGTGTACATTGTGAATGTGTACCAGAATGAAAATATTATTGTAGATCCATAGAAAGAAGTAGGTATACCATCCGAGTTGGGGTTACTAATTTACAAGTACAGTAAATTCCTGTTTGTCTGGTATCCAGGATTTTCATTCAGCTGGCAAAAATTTCTAAGAAAATTATAAAGTCGTTAAAAAAATTATGAGTGTATTTTCACTCACTATACAATAGTCCTCCCAGCTTCCACTAGCAGCACTACCCATTATGCAGATGCCATTTCAGCAGAGGCTAGTTGAATTGTTGATCTTGTGAATTCAAAATCTTTCACCTGTTAATCTGCACTATTGTATGGGAATAGTCCATGCAAGAACTAAAGCAAAAATGTGATATTTTGATTATAACTGGCAGACCCCATTCTCTATACTTGCCAAGTAATTGTTGTTTACTGTAGTAATTAATAGGTTAGATTCATCTTCAGTATAAATGAAAACATATTGTCATGTGTTGGGTATGTGACGTAACAAATAACTTCATGCCATTCTGGATCTAGCGAATTCATTGCACACTCGTTCTTACATTTACACAATTTACAGTTTCACAACTACTACCATTGGCAGTATCACAATTACTTCTGTTGTAGCCACTGGCGTTCACTCGATACGATCAGTCAGTCGCAATATGACTTTGACTTTGATTCAGGAGGATTGAGTATTGAATTACTAAGGAGAGAGTTACTAGTATCCAGTACGAGTTGAGTCGTATTGTCAAAATCAAGTCACATTGCGACTGACGGCCAGTCAGTCAGTAAGTCTTGGTGTCTAGCACCCTCCTGGGGCTCATGACCAGATATTTATTACTGTTTGACAGTTACGGTCTTGTTTTTAATGGGCGCCCTCTCTGATGAGAGGACAGGTCTGTCTTTTGTATATGCTGCTGGTCTTTGCCAGCGCATCTTTCTCGGGTCCGAGTCCCTTGGTACTTGAGACCATATATTACTGTCTCAAATTTGAGACTTCCCTTTTCGTCACCTCCTGTGACTTGCAGGGTCATGGTGGAGATATTCGACCCCGTCACCACACGGCCTCCCCGTGTGTGAGTTGTGGAAAGGCAGAGTTCACGTGACCCCTACTTCCTGTTGCGTCATCCACATTACAATATAAATCAAGATTTTGTAATTTAATATTTAGTACCAAATTTACACCTGTGGGACCATTCATAAGTTTCTTAGCAAATATGTTAACAATTCACTGATCACTCATGTGGCTGTGTGGAAACAGCTCCATTTAAATCAGTAGTGTACTAAGACATATCAAAAAAGTGGTATGTCACAAACAATCATGGAAAAAATTCCTAGTGAACCATTAATGAATTGTGTGGCTCCATTTACATCAGTGGTTCATTAAGATGTGGCACAAAAGTGGCACAACACAAATCAACATGGAAAAAGAGATTTAGCCTTTTGTACCGGGTTGAGGTAGGCTATTTGTAATTCTTTGTTAAATTGGTAAATTCTCTGAAGCTCTTATTACATCAGAAAGTGGCATGTCTTCCTCTTTCTGCTGGAATATATGAGTGAACAAATTTGTTCACACTCATGGTAATAATAATAATAATAATAATTCAATTCATGTTTATTTACATGCAAACTTAACAGCACAGAGGCCAGTTAAAAGGTTACCACAAGTACATAGAAATACACAAAAATAACTAAAAAACAAAATACAAATTTGAGAGTCTATACATATAATGGCAATAAATTGATAATCATTCCAAGAAAAATTAAAGTTAACAGGAGAGGAAAATAAAACAAAACCAATATATGTACATACACAGGCCGCACCATAGCTCAAGTGGTTAGTCACTGGCTTCCCACCACACAGGCCCGAGTTCGAGCCAGGGTCTGGTCAAGTGGGATTTGTGGTGGACAAAGTGGCGCTGGGGTGGGTTTTCTCAGAGTACTTCGGTTTCCCCTGCCAATCTTCATTCTACCAAATTCTCCATCATCATAATCACCTAGGGCAGGCTACAATAGGCCAATCAGTGGCTGTTGTGCCGAGTGGACCCAGTTGGAATCCACCCCCCACTAAGCAAATTTAATTTAAATTTTACATACATACACACAGGTAATGTTAGGAGTATTATCAAATATTATTAACAGTTTTAGGTTCAACGTGATTGACAGAAACTGTTCCGATTTCAAATATGTCGAGATCTTTACCCACCGCGTTGGCAGCATAGGCGCACCGAGCAGAGGGACAGTGCTTGTTAGAGGGACAAACATCAAGCAATGAGAAGTCCATAAGATTGCTGGGACGAACACGAAGGCTAACATTTTCCAAAAGAGAAGCGCAGGATTTAAGACAAAAGACCTGAACAAAAAAAATGCATCAAGTTGATGTCTCTGTTTATGTAAAAAATGTATACTTAATTTCTCTAAAGCATCAGTATAAGTATATGGAATATGAAGGAAAAAACGATAGAAACAGACGGACGCAAACTTCTGCTGGATGTGCTCAAGCTTGTTGGCATCAGTCAAGTTGATGGAGTTCCAAACTTCCGAGGCATATTCCAACTTGGACCTGACTAAAGTAATGTATAGTACATACAGACACTTCAGCAAGGGAAGTCTGTAGGTAATGGAGTGAATAAGGCCTAAAAGCTTTATGCATTGAGAAAATATGTAATTAACATGTGTGTGAAAATGTAGCTTTGAATCAAAGAAAACACCCAGGTCATTAATGCTGCTGGTGTGTGAAATGATAGCATGACCAAGCTGATATTCATAGCTCAGAAAATTTAGCATTTTCTCTGACAGAACTGTGTTTATATTCCCATTGTTGTATGTTGCAGTTCTCGCAGGCAACACGCATTTTAATGGAATGTGATATGGGAGTTCCATAATGAAACCTGTCTAAAGCATATCAGCTTCCACTTTGGTTGGTCTAAATTACTTTCATGTATGTCTTACAGAAGTGTTAGAAGTTACAAATGTTTGGTAAAGTTTCTGTGTATATGTAAAATGGACTCTGTATGCTTTCACCTTACCTCTCTTTTGCTAGTTTCTATCGAATAAAGTACAGTCAGTGATATCTCTTTCCCAAAACTCGTCCTGTAAACTGTGGCTCTCATATCTGCATACAGTATCAGCATGTGACAGTTTATAATAATTGACAGTGGCCTTTCCTAAACACCTGGTAACTTGAAAAACTGTTGTCTTCTTAGATGTGAGACCATGTAGACTGGTAGAATGTTACCACCACTTTGGAGGAACATGTAAAGTGATAAAACCCTGAAGATGGAGCCCTCACATTCCTCAGAAATGTTGGTAACATTCCACCAGACTACATGGTGTCACACCCCAGAAGACTGCAATCTTCATGGTTACAGCCATATTCGTGTGGAAGATCTTGGCCGAAGACTTGTTCGCTTAGAGAGTATACGTTGTAATTGCACATACAGGGAATACACAGTCATGAGTAGATAACAATTGGTTTTGATTTGACATGGGAGTTAGGTGCAGGAACTGAGAACAGAGTTGCATGTTCTGCGTTTGTCGATACTTCTGAATTGCATTCCTCAATAATCTGACAAGCCATAGTGAACAGCTTAGGCATTGTATTGATGTAGAATTCTGTAAATTGTAAATACAGTTATCAAATAATTTTAAAATGTTTAAGAATTTTAATGTGTTGGATGACTAATGTTAAAAAAAATAATTGGATTGGGAGTAAATTCTGGAAATTCTTGTCCTTTTTAAAACCTATCTTGAATATTTCAAAATTCAGTAGAATGTTGAAAGAACACATGTTGGTTGTGTTTATGGAGGTAAGTAAAAATGCTTTCACTTCGACGCATAAAAAGCTGCAGTACATTCCCTGTGGACATGAACATGGAACCTTCAGAAGGTAAGTTCGCTGCCCCATCCCTGAGACCCACACATCTACTGGTTGAATTTGCCTATAAAATTACATGTGCAGTGAAATTACAAAGAGCCTCAGAGCCTGATTGTTTGAAGTTCACTTTATGATCAGAATAAACGTAGAATAAATCACTACAAGACCAGTCATGTTACACGACTTAATATGAATGGTTTGTATAAAGCTCAAAACTGGATGTACCAAACTGTTTAACCTGTACTGAATACAGCAGTCATGACGAGCATTGGATGGATGATCCAGCATGACGAGCATTAGCTTAGTGGTAAGGCTTCTATGCACGAGAACATGGGTTCAAGTCCATGTGGAACGGGAATAGAATAAAGTAACAAACCATTATGAAGAAGTGGGGCCAAGTTAATATGCATGAAATTAATACGTAATGCACAATTTGCAGGTACAGTAGGAAATGCAAACAAAACCCTGTACTTTTTGTTTCAGTAACCTTCAACAACCTCCAAGAGCACAGCACTGCTGCAGCCCCAAGCTTTCAGCCTGGGATTTGATAGTTTGGCTGCAGATGTAGCTGTATTTCCGAAGAAGGGGATGCAGTGGCCAGTCAGCATCAACGACCAGAGCCAAGTTAATATACATTAACCTAGTGCTAACTGCAAGAAATGTAAACAACCCCCTGAACTGTCTAAACTTGTAACCTCGAAAATACCTTCAGTTGTACATTTATAGCTACAGGATTACTGAGGAGTGTTGCAGATGAATGTTTATATGTTAGACAGGATATGAGGATAAACTCTGTTTCCTTGATTCACCATCTGTGCAAGCCACGTACAGTAAAGTCTTTTAATTTATGCTGAAATACCTGCTCTGGGGAAATCTGAGGCATCAGCTGACTGGTTGAAAAACACCATTTCCTTGTGCAGCACCCCCCCCCCCCCCAGGTTCAATCATGAGGTTTCATACTCTACTTGTTATGGGGTCTGAAGCTTGCCTTCAGTGTAAAGCAGATGAACCAAGTGGATGAGAACCGACCAATTTGCTTGCAAAAATGTCTAATTGAAGAAACGAAGTTCATCCTCATACCCTGTCTAGGAGATAAATTTTCAACTATGGCAGTGATGTTTAATCCTCATCAGAAAGT